TGCTCTTAGCAAGTCTTTGCATCATTTCCATAGGAAACAGTGGGAGCTACCTTATAAAACCCTTATAATGTGACTGTATATACTCAGCAGCTGCAGCTAAATGCTTATCCTGGGAATGAATAGCATGGTGACTGTACAGTTTTAGGAAGAGATGGTTCCAGGTTTCCTTTCCCACTGCTTTTCAGCAGGGTGATCTTACTTTCCTTGATTTTAAATAATGCCGATTAAAGGCTTCCTTTGTATCATGGCATATTTCCTCTTTCCCAAAATAGAGTTTTAACCTTCAGGGAACTGGCATGTTGCAGAGGGGAAGATACAGACATGCTGCAACTACATTCTTATGTCTGGGACTTCATAAAGCTAGCAGTATATCCTATTTTGCTCAAAACCTGGTAACATATCAGCTATATTTGGAGCTGAAAGCCGAATTCTGTGCACCCAATTTGTTTGGTGGATAGAAACCAACCAGAAAACCAGATCTATTCTCACCTTGGTCTCTGCTGGGAAGAAATCTGGTGCTGAAATTCTGATCCAGATTCATTGCTGACAATTGTCAATGGTGTTTTGAGGGAATGGCTCTCAATCACATCAACACTCATTGTGTCTCTGAAATTGTCTTGTGCCTGAATTTTACAAGGAGGGGATATCTCTAATGAGAAAAGCAAAAGATGATCCTTTTTTTTAATGCGAACTGGGAAACTCTGGCTGCAGGTGAGCACCTTTGCGCACTGCAGTGCAGAGGTGAACACGAGCCCCTGCTGATTCACACGCCAGGTGATGCTGCATTCCAGTCTCATTACTGGCAGCGGGTTGGGTCAGGGACCGCTGACAAACTGCAGTGTTTGTGCTCAAGTGATTGGCTACTTACACTTCTGTTTATCTAACTAACCTGTCCTTACACCTGGTCTCAGGCCTTGCATTAGTTTGTGGTGACAGTTAGGATGTTCCTAAGAGCTGAAGAAAAGTTATGGGCTGCTGAAGCATAAATTGCACTCAAAGCTGTTGTACCATGGTAAATATTTTCTCCTATCATATCAGTCTATGAGAAAGAAGTCCTGCCTATTGGACTCTTCATCTGTGGGTCATGCTCTTAATGTAGTGAGTTACTGAAATTCTTTGATGTGTAATGAAATGGAGAAAGGGTCTTTTTCTGGTTTTTTTTTTTTTTTTTTTTTTTTTCCCCTAAGGATGCTGCTATTGGAAACAGACAGGGGATGGGGAGTACACAAAGGATATACTTCCTATGTTCATTCATTTTACATTTCTGGTGCTTTGCTGTATTGGAGGAGATCAGCACAGAGAGGTTAGGTTAGTTTAGCTGAATATTAAACCTGTTTAGTGAAGCTGCTGCAACTTCAAGTGTAAACAGATTCAGTTATAGTAAATTTGGTTTATATGTGACAATGTAACTTTATAGCTGAAAGAAACAGGAGGGCACAAATCCTATTCATATACGCATAGTGGAGACTAAATATTGCCACCCTCAGCTTCCTGCTTGAAACTGCTTTTCCATGACTTGTTGCCTGATAACAGAAAAAGCAGGACAGATTTGTAGTTCTAAATAGTTCTGCAGGAAGAAACTTGTAAACAGAAAGCTACAAGGCAGGGTCTTCTGATTCCTTTCCAAGCGCATTAAGCAACACTTTGCTTTCTGTTCTGCCTGTTTCCCTGCTCTTGAATGTGTCAGTGGGGTTTTCCTCTACTTCAGGCTAAGACAAGAATCAAGAGCTAACAAAATAAAAAATAAGCTGGGAAATTCAAAGCAATGCGCCAAGTCAAGTCCCCCCGATAATGAGTGTCCTAATCTACCAAGTTCGGCATCCTATCCTTTGACCTGGCTGGTAACTGAAGGTTAGGTGGTCAGCACAGATCCCCGTTTTTCTCTAATACTGATAACACGCATAAACTGATTTGCCATAGAAACCAGGTCTATGCATTGGAGGGAACCTTGATTCTGCAAATTCAGTGAATAATCTGAAATGCCAGCAATGACTAGGAAAGTAAAGGTCTTGGACATCTGAAAGCTGGAGGAAGGCTTCTTTCCTTTGAACGCACTTGGTAAACCTGCCAACACTACATGGAGGATGAGTGTTTACTCAGGAAAAGCTAAAAGTACAAGCAGAGAAAAAATCAGAGAATCTCAGGAAATAAAAAGTAAAAAACAAGGATATATATAGGTGAGCTTGTGCAGATTTTGTAGAGTTTCGTAGAGTTTTATTCTTAATAGGTAGCAAAAAAGTAGAGGGTATA